CTGTTATACATCTGAGTTCCCTGCTGTAATACATTTACTTGATTTTCAAATTTCCTTTTCCATCAGTCATGACTTGAGAGTTTCTGTTTCACATATCTTAATTGCAGATAGACATTTACAAATATAAACTATCATGTCCTTTTTCATTTTATTTTTAACTTAACTCTTTTCATTTCTTAGTTCCTAAACTGTTTTTCTCTAACATAATTAATGGCTAAATAGAGTAATGACAACTAAGAATTAAATTGCATTGATAAAGTGTTTATTTTTGAGTATGGCAATCAAGTTTTTCAGTCCTATTATTGTTAATTGCCATGTACATGAAATACAAATATGTTAATGGAAAACACACTCAAGAATGTACCATTAAAAAATCTTTTTGTGGGAGGTACTTGAACATTAGCCTACAAGTGTTACCCAGGCAAAAATGATGCCAAATTTTTTGGTTTAGTTAGCCTTAGTTTAGTAATTTGCAGGCCTCTCCAGACAATACCAATATGATATTGACTTTGGCCACAATATCCTTGTAGCAAATAGTTGACACTACATTGTCTTAGTTAGCTGGTTCACTTTGTTCATCCACAAAGGAATCCATCCATCAGAAATTGATATTATACATTTTTAATAATGATGTACATTGCAAGGGATTGGTTTGGAATATTTAGCAGAATTTGATCTGCTCATTCCCAATATGAAATGGAAAAATGTATTAAACCTGGTGTGGAAATTTTGCAAATAACTACTCAAAATATTCACAAGGTGGCTTTTGATAGGATCTGTGATGAATGTTCATGTTAGTATATTGCTGCTGTTTTAATGCTGTAAAATGGGTAAAGTTAGAGTTAATCATATATTGTTTGCTGTATCTACAGAAATGTGTTCTGTGTTTTTATATTTTGTCTAAAGAGGGTGCTAACAATTACAACACAGCAATAATTTCCTTACTTACTTTGTAGCACTTCCAACTACACTGTATAGTAGTGTACTGTATATCCATTCTGTTGAAGCTGCTTAACAGTAACTTTTTAATATGTTCACCATATTTTCCATACGACTTAAAATGCAATATTATCATAACTGACTGTTTCCAGGATAATGGGAGATTGATTTGCATTAGTCAAAGCTGACCCAGCGAGACTTAATGTTTAAAACACAGGCATCATGAACCTAGTTTGACAGTGTGTGCCATCACAAAAGAGGACTTTAATTACTGCCAGGTTTAGTGGTGTGAAAGCACAGGCCCATGTGTTTGTTACTGCATCTGTAATCTTTTCTACCTTTTGCCTTTATAGAAATGCTGCTCATGGCTTCTCTCTAATCCCTGTGGACAGTCTGAAGGTAACAATGAAGGAAATTCTCCAGAAAGCACTGAAGAAAAGGAAAGGCTCACAGAAAGGCTCAGGTGAAGACACTTGTGTCATTCTTCAGGGGTTTGGGTTTCTTATTAACTTGTCCATATTCCTAGATAAGAGAACCGCACCATCCAAAGTAGGATGTATGCCGTCTTCCCTAATGAGTCCCAGGTTTACCGAAAAACATTTCCAGTTTTCTGTTAAGTCCACATTATTATCTGGACACCACCTCAACAGCCATCAGTTGAATGATAGCATGCGGCTGTACATGACATCACTGATCACATGGACAGGGCTCCAGAGGAAGCGATGGACTCCGACATTGTTTTAGCAAATTTACACTCCGATTCAACATTACATTTAGTGACCTACAAGTGCCTCAATTGGATGTCTTTACCGCCAACATAAATTATAATCATACTGTATTCGTGTGCATCCTTTCAGCGTTGCCCGCTCTGGCCCCAGGAATGCATTTGACTATGGTTGCTGGTGTCTTTAACTTAACGTTTCTAACTATGAAGCTGCCAATTACCAGAGAGTGGTCCTCGGCAGGTGTGTTGCTGAGTGTTTACAATTGAAAAGAAAGTGTAAACAACAGTCTCAACAAGACTGAGAGCTGTCCCCCGCCCAGCACCGTAAGTGCCACGTTCATGTCTTCTTACGTTATTGTTCTCACATTATCCAACAGGACCCATGTATCGCCTGGAGAAGCAAATGGAGCCGAACGTTGCTGTCGATCTGGACTCAACGCTGGAGAGCCAGAGCACCCTGGAGTTTTGCCTGGTCAGAGAAAACAGTAAGTAATTGCAGTAAGTCGGTTATATGTGGACTTGATGATCATGATCAAATCATTACTTCTAAAAACAAACAGTCAGACTCATGTATGATTTCCTTATTCACCTTAGCCATAAAGATGTTTTCCTGAAGTTTTTCCGGCATATTTAAAAAAATAAAATAAAAATAAAAAATGCATCTGTGGTGGGCCTTTACCTAGATCATGAGTAGATCTAAAACTGCAGACTCATAAATTCTCACTTAAAACAGAAAGGTAACACTCATTGTAAGGCTTGGCTGGTGGGCTTCAAGAATGGCCACTTGTTCTTCTTCTCTGCTTTGCATCCTTTTTCTTTTCTTTTTTTTTTTTAGGAGTCTGCCGTGTTTTAGTGTTTTTTAATTTTTTTTTACATTGTGATGAGGAACTAACTGATTAGCTTCACTCCATCTTTAAACAGAGATAAACTCACCTATTGTGGCTTTAATTTCGAGTGATTGAACTGCTTTCTTGTGCTGAGCACAAAAAAGCCCCACAAAATGGCGATTGCCACTTTATTTGGACTCTCAAAAATGATTCTGAAAAAAAGTGGTTTTCTAATAAGAATGAGCTTGGAAAACACAGGAATAGTGTTCATATACACTATAGAAATATATTTTTTTAATTCATATTGCTGGTCTTTGGGCACCTGGAAAGTCAAATGTAGTGCAGCCATTGAGCCATCACTGTTGTGCAGTGGCAATATACATCAAGAGCAACTTTTTACAGTACAGCTACAGTACATGTAGACCATGTCTATATTTTCTCTGCTTATTCAGAACATGGTTATTAATAGTTATCCTATGTAGGCTAGTCACTACTTGATGTCTGTGATGATGAGTCACCCCGTCTAGTGTTATAGCTTTAACAATAGTATCAGTGGATGTGATTTGCCTTCAGTTGTGGACTCCATGTATACCATGGGATCATCTCTGGTTTCTACTGACTCCTATAATTCCTTTCTGCAATGAATAAGAAGCTGCTCGCACACAGGGTCAGTGTCCAAAGTCAAGTGTGTTTTTGTGTTACATCGCCATGAAGCGAGAGGCTGTTGTGCAAGAAGAAAGCCCTTCCTGTGTGTGCGAGTTAAAATTTCAAGTGGTTGCATTTGTGCGAGTGAATGATGATAATTTAGCTGTCTTGTTTTCGCTTTAACCAACACAGGCAGCTACTCGTTAGCCACAGTGGTGGAAAGTATACCTTTTATTTCTGTCGTGGCTCGTTCAGTCTGTTTCTGCCTGATGCGTAAAATGAGCTATTAAGCTGATGTTCGTTCTTCAACCAACAGAGAGTCAGAGGTCCGACTCAGAACCTGATGGTCAGAGAGCAGGTGTAGCAGAGACATACTGAGCCGGAGAGCTAGCTAATGACAATGGATAACACAGTAGCAGGGCGGCAGAATTAAATAGTTATTAATCACAATCATAATTTTAACTTCTAACCACTGTATGAAAACGATTGACTGTGGTCTTTACATTTTAAAATGTGCTCTGCTCATCAAAACCGTAGAGCACGTACATGTGATGTTTTGTCAGCTCATAGAAAACAGCGGATGTGGATAAATCACTCGGTTTCACCTTGGAAAAAATCAGACTTTAGAACTCTTTATTTCCACTTTTCAAACTAATTTTTGCTCAGACAACTGTCAGCCACCAAGCAGCATCTACCGGAGCCTGCAACGTGAGGCGTTTACGGAGCATCAGTACATGTGGGGTCTATCGGTGAGCAACTGTGACCAGGGGAGGGGTGCGACTAACACTAATTTTTTTTTTAAATTTGTTTTGTTTCCCTTCTGTCTTCAGGCTCCAGAGGTGAGGAGAGCTCTGAAGAAGACCCTCCTATTGACATCACCACAGTTCAAGACATGTTGAGCAGTCACCACTATAAGTCCTTCAAGATCAGCATGATTCACAAGCTGCGTTTCACCACAGATGTCCAGCTGGGTACATACTGCTTGTTGCACACTATTATCATTGTTTATTCCAGTTTATTGGAAATATATATATATATATATGCAGTTTACAGTTATTCACTGACAGAATTTCCATTCCAAATTTATGGGAATTTTTGACATAACGGGTCCTTGATACCAGACAGAAATTCACATATCTCACTTTTAATCTGAAACTGAATGTTGAAGGTGATTTCATCATCTATATTTAGTTAGTGAATAACTTGATTGGTTGAAAACTCAATCCTCATCTTAATTTCTAAAAAAGATTAGTAATCAAAGTGCTGTACAAAAGAGTGAACATAATGTGATAATTATTCACAGAGCTGATAGACAAAGAAAATCTGAACAAAATAAACAGCAAGTGGCTTGTTAAAAATTAGCAAAGTTTTTTCTTTTGAATGCAGACATGCCAGTTGCATGGGAGCAATGCCAAATGTGCATGTGAGTTTAGTGGGTAATTGATGTATCCTGAATTTATGATGTATACGAAGGTAAATATGTGCGGTGGGAAAAATGTGTGTAGGTTCCAACTCCCCTATAGACAGCTCACTCTTTTGCCAGGAGTTGGTAGCTGTATTGACCTAGGTCCCTGGCGTCTCTCAGTAAGTCTCATGGATCAGTTTTCAGCATGGGTTTAGCTCAGTGAGTGATACCTTAAAGGTGCAGTATGTGAGACTTTGAATATACATATACAGTACTGTGGAAAAGTGAAACAATGACAATAAACTTGATTTGATTTGAACAGTGACTTGAACATGAAGTGTATAAAATGTATTTTCTATCGTAAACTGACATACACCCGTCTCATCAGGTATTTCAGGAGAAAAAGTGGAGATTGATCCTGTCACCAATCAGAAGGCCAGCACTAAGTTCTGGATTCGGCAGAAACCCATCTCTATCGACTCAGACCACCTCTGTGCCTGTGACCTTGTAGAGGAGAGAAGCCCAAGTAAGTGGACCTCAGAAGCAGTAGCTCACTTTCACGTGTACAGGAGAAAGAACCTCTCTGATGCGTTACCATCCATATTTTTCTCCAAATGGGATCATAATTTACAAATGAACATTATGCTGTATTCAGAAATTCTTGAAACTAGTGATTACGATCATAAACTCATTAGGAAAATGTTTACTGAGGTACCACATCTGTAACCCACCACATCCACCTAAGGGACACTCTCCCAGCAACCTGCTCTGAGGTCTGGTAATAATTGACGTTGAGATACACATGGACACCAATGTGGGTCCCTGTCATGTGACACCTGTTCCTTCACCCTGATGTCTCTCCATTTGCCTGCTGGTACCCAGTAGTTGCAAAATTCTTTTTCAATGCCTCTAACCCTAAACCCTAACTCAAAGTTAATTTTACTTGCTTTATTTAATATGTGCTAAGGTAAGATCTTTCCTGTATTCATTTTGTTTCACTATCTAACAGACACCATTCTGAGCAATGGCTCAAACTGGAACATCCTGCATTGAATATATCCTGCAGAAATCATGATGTGTAGACTTTTCAGTTTGTGTTATGTGTCAGTTTTAAGTGTCACACAATGTAGTCAGTGTACAGCTTTTATAACAGTGTAAATTTACTGTCCACTCAAAAGAACTCTATACATAGCTATTGATGTGTCTAAACCACTGGCAACAAAAGTGAGTACACCCCTAAGTGAAAATGTCCAAATTGGGCCCAAAATGTCGATATTTGGTTTGTCCACCATTATTTTCCTCACTGCCTTAACCCTCTTGGGCATGGAGATCACCAGAGCTTCACAGGTTGCCACTGGAATTCTCTTCCACTCCTCCATGACGACATCACAGAGCTGGTGGAAATTAGAGACCTTGTACTCCTCCACCTTCCGATGCCCACAGATGCTCAATAGGGTTGAGGTCTGGAGACATGCTTGGTCAGTCCATCACGTTCATCCTCAACTTCTTTATCAAGGCAGTGGTTGTCTTGGAGGTGTGTTTGGGGTCGTTGTCATGTTGGAATACAGTTTCCAAAGGGAGGGGATCATGGTCTGCTTCAGGATGTCACAGTACATGTTGCCATTCATGGTTCCCTCAATGAACTGTAGCTCCCCAGTGCCGGCAGCACTCGTGCAGCCCCAGACCATGACACTCCCACCACCATGTTTGACTGTAGGCAAGACACACTTGTCCTCCTCACCTGGTTTCCNACCTTCGTCCTCAGCTTCTTTATCAAGGCAGTGGTTGTCTTGGAGGTGTGTTTGGGGTCGTTGTCATGTTGGAATGCTGCCCTGCGGCCCAGTTTCCAAAGGGAGGGGATCATGCTCTGCTTCAGGATGTCACAGTACATGTTGGCATTCATGGTTCCCTCAATGAACTGTAGCTCCCCAGTGCCGGCAGCGCTCATGCAGCCCCAGACCATGACACTCCCACCGCCATGTTTGACTGTAGGCAAGACACACTTGTCCTCCTCACCTGGTTTCCGTCACACACACTTGACACCATCTGAACCAAATAAGTTTATCTTGGTCTCATCAGACCACAAGACAAGGTTCCAGTAATCCATGTCCTCAGTCTGCTTGTCTTCAGCAAACTGTTTGCAGGCTTTCTTGTGGATCATCTTTAGACGATGCTTCCTTCTGAGATGACAGCCATGCAGACCAATTTGATGCAGTGTGCGGCGGCGTATGGTCTGAGCACTGACAGGCTGACCCCCAACCCCTTCAACCTCTGCAGCAATGCTGGCAGCACTCACACATGTATTTTCCAAACACAACCTGTGCATATGATGCTGAGCACGTGTGCTCAACTTCTTTGGTCGACCATGTTGAGGCCTGTTCTGAGTGGAACCTGTCCTGTTAAACCGCTGTATGGTCTTGGCCACCGTGCTGCTGCTCAGTTTCAGGGTGTTGGCAATCTTCTTATAGCCTAGGCCATCTTTATGTAGAGCAACAATTCTGTTTTTCACATCCTCAGAGAGTTCTTTGCCATGAGGTGCCATGTTAGACTTCCAGTGAGCAGGATGAGAGAGTGTGAGGGCCTGCTCCCCATTCACACCTGAGACCTTGTAACACTATGAGTCACATGACAGCGGGAAGGGAAAATAGGTAATTGGGCCCAATTTGGACATTTTCACTTAGGGGTGTACTCACTTTTGTTGCCAGCAGTTTAGACATTACTGGCTGTGTATTGAGTTATTTTGAGAGGGACAGTATATTCACACTGTTATACAAGCTGTACACTGACTACTTTACAATGAGGCAAAGTGTCATTTCTTCAGTGTTGAAAAGATCCATGAAAAGATATTATAAAATATTTACAGAAATGTCACTTCTGTGACATACTGTATATAGACACACAGTATAGTAAGAATATTTGCTTTGCCTCTTTGTGATGAAAAGGTATTTTCTGAAGATGTGCAAATGGAAAGAGAAGGGGTGATGGAGATGTATATTTCATTATGTGTCCATTTTCTGTCTCATTAAGAATGTTTTTGCTCTTTGTCTTGCAGGTCATGCAATATTTAAGCTCACTTACCTCAGCAACCATGACTACAAGCCTCTCTACTTTGAGTCTGATGCTGCTACTGTCAATGAAATAGTGCTGAAGGTTAGTTTGGACTAAATGTCTGTGCTGTGCCCTGTTCTCTTTTTCAAGGACAAGGTTTAGAGATTGACCAATGGTCATGGAGAGTGAAGAATCATATATAAGTAAAGTAATTAAATCATATTTGGTGAAGAATGTAATTTATTGCTACAACAGTGTTATATTATCCCTTCCCTTACACAACAGTTAGACCCAACAATTTGTGTAGACAAGAGGTGTTCCATTGGTTCTGATATAGAGCATACCATCACTTGGGCTCTTCGTTATGCTTTTACCACTCAGCTTTTCAGATGCTCTACAACCATTAATTACATTAACAATTGTTTGCCTAGCTATCTCAAACCTGTACCAAAATGCATACCTTAAATATAAGCATAAATACCCACATTTAAGGTAATGTTTTATCATCAGAAGAGAAAAGAAACCTGAATACTTTAGTGCATACCTCCTCATGTGCTCATATGACATTAGCCAACCTAGATCAGTTGGAGAAAAGCAAACATTTCGTTGACACATAAAAGCCAACAACATGGAATTGGCTGAGTTTCAGAAATATAAACATGGACTTTCATTTGGTTAAAAATGGCAGGGCTGATTACAGTCTTAAAACAGTTTTATGGATACCCCAGAACAACTAAAGGCAAGCTTTACAACAGAGAGTGGAATACTATAGATTAAGAACAGGACTATTCGGGTTGGCAGAGCTAAAAAAAAATAATAAAAAATTAAATAAACAAAACATAATCTGTTGTCATTTATTAGTGTTGACTGAAAATGGTGCTTTTAAATTATCTTCAGTAATGGATTCACAGTTGTGCCAATGTTCAGTATAACAGCACTGCCTATCACATGATTGCATATTGCTTAATCAGTCATTATTTTATAATACACCATGTACAGGTGGTATGCAGATGGAGTTGCTGTTGTTCATACATAAATACATCTTTAAAAAGGTACCTGTTGATATTTGATAGAGATCAATGCAACCAATGAATGCATTTCATGAACAAAACAATTTTTTCCCCTCTCTGTTTATTTGTAGGTAAATTACATCCTGGAGTCCCGGGCCAGCACCTCTCGTGCTGATTACTTTGCTCAGAAGCAACGGAAACTGAGCCGACGGACCAGCTTTAGTTTCCAGAAGGAGAAGAAGACTGGCCAGTAGACAGAGTAAAACTGCTCAGCCAGTTGTTTTTTTGTGTGTGATTACACAGGGACAAGGCCTAGCAATGTCGTACCCAGGCTAGGACTCAAAACTCCTAGAAGTGGAGACTAACAGAAATGTCACATCAGAAAAGATGAGAGACAGTCACAGGCAGAAAATGGACCAGGAAGACATGTCTCTGCTTCAGCTGGCGAGGTGGTTTCTGTCTCTGAACCTTCACAAGAAAAAACATTTCGCAAGCAAAAGTAAACACATTCTTTTTCTACGAATGAAAAAAAGTTTCAGCTGTTGTGTAGCCGTCAGTTTTTTTTGTTCATTCACTGTCTCTGATTTTAAGCTCTGTCCTTCAGGATGGATTTGTACAGCTTCAACAAGTTGGTGATGTACACCTAACAAACAAATCAAAGTTGCTTACTGAATCTTTGCCTTTGTCCTCCTTATTTAACAGATTTGACATGACATGAAAACAAAACTCTTGTAACTTATCTTTTTAACCATTTTAATATTTAGACATTTTATATTCAGGAAATAAAATGATATTAATGTAAAAATAAATTAGCCATGGATTCTATTCACTCAGCTGCTTATCTATTAGGTATGCATGTCTAAAATGAATCCAGTCTAACATAACATGTCAGACGAGGTGGGATTAAAGACGAGGATCGTCTCGGGAGGTCCTTCTGCTAAAGCTGTATAATTGGATAACTTCAACAATCGAGAGCTACTGGTATGAAGCAGTTTTATTGCATTATTGCACGGATTTATCAAGTTGTACAAGACAGCAGAGAGTTTTAGCTTCATGTACCTAATCAGCTGTGTATTAGTGTATTAATTGTTTTTATTCTACATAGTTGTAGAGGACCATGAGATTTTTATGATTTTAGACAAAAATATGCTTCATTTGAAAGCAATAAAGACACAGCACAAGTATAGAAAAGTGGTAGAAATGTGTTTCAGTGGATAAATCATTACCCAGTGCCCAGTAGAGCTTTGGATATACGCTGTCTTTATTCTTTGTACCTGCTTAAAGCTGACAGTGACTGTAGAAAACACAGCTGTAACATGTGAGGTGAGGCTTTGAGCCTGCAATGACATTTAGATGCTACTGTGAAGGTAGAAATCCACATTAGGTTTGGTCTCATTGTATGGGAGCTAAGGTCTGTTCCAAATAGAGGACACTTGTGTGATAGGTGGAAACACCACCCACCAGCCATTCACAACCTTGAACAGACATTACTGGACTGTTGCTGTGATCACCTTTTACTGGTGGTATTGCATCAAGAAACACAGCACTGCCCCAGCAAAAGGCATATTTAGAAATACAAAGAAAGGTTTTTATGGGGAAAATGCTTTGAACGCCATCTGTTACAGTGCAATACATAGAGGTTACTGCTCAGCCTGATACTGATAAGTGCCTTTGTACGCTTAAGCAAACTGTGTTCAGGTCTGATTGCCCAGTCATTGTCTGACAACAACACCACTCTGAAACACAACAAAGTAGTTCTTCTCGTAGGTTAATCGTAGCAACTGGACTTGCTTGAGCTCCTTGAAGGCGTTTCACCTCTCATCCAAGAGGCTTCTTCAGTTCTGACTGACTAGTTGGGAGTTCCAGATACTTATATCCTTAAGGAGCCGTTATGTTTATACTTACCTGTTCTTGTGCTGTCTAGCTATTATGACCGGGATGACTGAAAATCTTCACAGACCTTCTTAAGGATATAAGTATCTGGAACTCCCAACTAGTCAGTCAGAACTGATGAAGCCTCTTGGGTGAGAGGTGAAACGTCTTCAAGGAACTCAAGCAAGTCCAGCTGCTACGATTAATCTACGAGAATAACCATGACCTGGATGACTGAGAATCTTCACAGACAAAGTAGCTCGTTTCCATAGCAAAGTATTCTCACATGTCACGTTATGTCAGATACACTTGAGCTTTTCCCAGTTTCCATGTGTCACCATTGTGTGCCTCTGAGTCTTTGTGTAGTTAACCAAGGTACATGCAATGAGCATTTCCAAAAACTATTTAGAAAAAAACTCCACAGGGTCACTTTAAAGGATAGTAATGGATATTTTCCTGTCCATCTTAACGCAACATGGGTTTCTGTTATCATTCCTCCTGTCTGTACTTGTCATGAAGCAATTCATTTTGCAGTTATGCTAAGCTGAAGTTATTATGAGACTCCAGCAATCAGTACTGTATGTGATGTGTGTACAGTGCTTATGGCCACCATTTTAGAACAAGCAGCCATGCATATGGGTCTGTCATGTAGAACCTCACGGATGTATGACAGGTGAAGTATATTTAAAGTGTGAAGCTGTGTTCACACTAATAAATTTTCAACTGTAGACAAGCATTTTCACACAAATTCAGAAATAATCTCTGTCCGCACTAGCACAATTGAAAACGCATGGGGGGCTGATGAACAACCAGCACAGGTGTCAGCCATCAGCTGATGGACTTCCTGTTCTTCTCTAAGGGAGCCTGAATTCCAGCCAACCAGGACAGCCCAAACAGGAAGTTCAGTTTAATGTTCATTAAGTATTGCAACAGCCCTGGGATATGTGCTTTAGTCTGTTTGTTTTTGCTTTTACTGCCTTGTACTGCTTTCCTGAGGGTAACAGTTCAGACAAGTGAGTACAACATTGTCAAATGTCCCATGAGTCCCACCCATTAAATGGCTGTTATCATGGCAGATCATTCCCGTACATATAGGCCAGTAGGGACTTCATCAGCCAGCTGGTAGTTTTGATCACTGATATACAGAAAGTAAACCTGATATACATGGCACTGTCATTGGAATAGATGCATGTAAAATCTCTGCTAAAGTCATCAGCTTTGAAACATACAACTGGAGCTTTGTAACATCTGGTAAACACAGTGACAGGGTGTATTTTAATCCAAACCGTAATCCTTAACCAAACACATACTGAAAATACAAATAAACACCAAGTGAAAATCAGCTCGTGAAAGTGAAAGCAAAACTTTCCAAATGCACTTTTAAAAAAAAAAAGGTGTCTTTCAGACTTGTCAGGATGTCAGAAAATTGATTCCATTCATTTTTTTTCCTCATCAATCTACTCACAATACTCCACAACAAAAAGAAAAACAGGTTTAGGCTATTTTACACATTAATTGAAAATAACAGACTAAAATTAGACATGATGTTAATATTTTTGCTTGACAGTTGAATTATGAATAATCTAATGACGCATCAGCCATGACAGTTATTTTCTAAGGTTGCTTTTCCTTATTTAATTATCTGTGTAGACCACCACTGTGTGCAGCTGGGAAGTATAAGTATGGGTGCTATTCATCATATTAACTTATGGGTCCTCCCGTTCTTTCTCCTGCTGTTGCTTAAAATTCGTTTCTCTCCCACCATCATGGAGGCTCTTCCAGTTATTTATTGCACATCAAGGAGATAAGAAGGCTGCAGGAGGCACTTTGAATGAGAAAACTGTTTAATCTTACATAGAAGTCTACACTAAGTGATCTGATATATAAATGCCATACTCTGGTGGGTGTCTGTTTGAGTCGACAGGTGATATGGCTGTGAAGCACATCATAACTAACTGGCATCACCTAAGACTGATGCTATGGAATGAAGAATTTATTTGGCAGCTGTAGCTCCTAAGTTCTCACATCTCGTCCCTGCTTGTCTCTCTTAAATCATCACTGGGATGCACTAACCCCTGCTTGTAAGTTTAGTCTCATGTGAGCATGTGAGGGTCAATGTGACATAAATATAGTCATCTCCCCAAGTCCAGAGTTGTCCCTGTGCAGCCCAAAATTTGGACAGTTATTAAGCCATCAGGCCCTGTATTACTAATTGTTAGTCTGCCTGAGTGCACTTTTTACCACATAGTTTGCTTTACTTACCATTGTCTCAATAATCCATATGAATTATTTGTGTAAATTATTTAAATGAACCCCCTACAGCTTATTAAACTGAAGCTACATACGGCGCCACAATCACTTCCTGTTGTACTACACATACCACTCTGCACTTCCCACTTGTTTGTTCTCGCTTCTGTTGACATCAACATCTTCAGATCTGTCAACATTATGTCAGATGAGTCTATATTTACAGTACCTGTTTTTCTGCAGAAGAACCACCATTGCCAGCCTCAGGACTTTTGGAGCCCTGAACAGGATGCAGTCTCCTTCTTCACCTCTCCTGTACTTCAACAAACTGATAGATTCTCAGATAAGGTGTACTGACAAGGAATGCAACGATTCCTTCAGGGGTATTAAAGGATATTTTTAACGGAGTTTGTGTCCCCAAATGAGATCTACTCCACCTAAATAATTCAATTCAATTTAATTACATTTCATTTATATAGTGCAAATTCACAACATGTAATCTCACAGCGCTTAACATGGCAGGGTACAGACCCTACGAATGTTGAACAGAGAATCCAACAATCCAAAGTTGCCTTTGGACTCCATCTGAGCAAGTGGTCGGAACAGAGTTTTATATGTGAGAATCAGGGTTTTAAATCCTATCCAGGATTTTAAAGGGAGTCAGTGAAGAGAAGCTTTACAGGAAAAATATGATGTCTTTTACTGGTTCCAGTCAGAACTCTGGCTACAGCATTTTGTATTAGCTGGAGGTTTTAAGAGAAATCTTGGGACATTTGGACAATAGGGAATTACAATAGTCCAAATTTGGAAGTTACAAATACATGCACTCATTTTTCAGCATCACTCTGAGACAGGATGTTCCTGATTTTTAAAATATTAACTTTGTGCAGGAAGTTGAGGGATATCAACTATATTTGGTTCAGGCTCCCAACTTAACAAGTATATGCTTGACAGGAGAATTGAGGAAGAATGGGACAAACTTCTAAAAAGAAAAGTTTAATTTTGTCATTATGAATCTAAAGCAATGTTTTTGGGGGTTTTTCCCCATTTAAAACTACTTTTATAACAGCAAAATGTGCAAAAACTGGAGGGTTCAGAATGCTTTGTGGTGGATGAAACTTGAACCCAAAAAATTTAAGAGACACTATTAAGATCTTTTATTTATTGAAAGATCTTAGTTCATCACCTCTGCAGAGAAAAGTACGTGAATTTTTTATTGCACACTTAAGTTTTTTTATGTTTTTGGCAAAGTCTTATTCCTGTTTCCTGTGTCCTCCCCTCAGACTCTTTCTGCCAATTAGAATCCTCTATCTATGCTTATTGATGGTTTTGGCTGTCCAGTAAATGATGACATATTTTATCTTATTTGCATTGGAGGTTTGAAGACTAGAGACTTTGTGTTCCTTGGAAATCCAGATGCTGTGTCTTCAGACAGTCAATGTCAGGCTGATGGAGAGAACAGTGAAAAGGAAGGAGGTTTGCTTTTCTGGGAAACTTCATTACAAGGAGGTTGCTTTAAATGTTCTGAACATTCTAAGGATGAATAATTACTATTATTATTAAATGAATACATACAAAATGTTGTGAATGATTAAACATATGATTGAAACATCAAAAATGAAGGCATGGAGGTCACTTTTTCACTTTTTGCACTTTAACTTTCTGAAGCCTTTCCATATTTTGGCAATATACAGAGAGTAAACTGCAGCACAAAATAAACACAACTCTTCAACTGACAGCCTTTTATCCGGTTTATTTAGGATAATTCTTAGTGTGAACGTTAGGAACAGAGGAGTGGTTTCCATCCTCCCATTTCTTACTAGAAGCTCTTCTTTTGCAGAGCCATTTGAACAGTTGAATACTGTCAGGCCTTAATCTATAGACATTTCTCTAAAGGAACAATGTTGAGGATTTGCACCAGAACTATGGTACGTAACATCTCTTCATTTAACTGTATCTCTTTATAATGTAGCACACTGAAGTTCCATCAGCTAGAAGACACTTTTTGGGTACCAGTATCTCTGGATGCTTGCATAAAGGTAGTGTTTATAACTAGGTGTGTTTTGCCTGATGTACTCAACTGATGTAACAAACATATTCTTGTATCTGTCAGGTAAACGTTGGGCTGCTACATCCCTGTGGCTTGGTGAAATCCTGTCACTTGGTGAAGTCTGTATCAGCCTCTCTGGTGACTGGCAGATACTTCACCCACCAGACAGGACTGCCCAAGATGCCTGTCCCCCCTCTGCAGCAGACCTGTGAGCGCTACCTCAGCCTTCTGGAGTCCATTGTGGAGGAGGATGAGCTGAAACGCACAAAAGCACTGGTAGAAGAGTTTCAGAAAGCAGGAGGGGTTGGAGAGAGACTGCAGAGGCGCCTGGAGATCAGAGCAGAGAACACTGACAACTGGGTGAGCTCAACAGCTACATTAATAGCTGACTCTGGGCCAATGAAGAGGCATTATGACCATGACTAAAGTTACATGGCCCTGCAGTTACATGACATGTATGTTGTATAACAATGAAATCATTCAGTATCGTATTTCATTCTCAAGTATGGACTTGTGGTAGACAGAACAAAACTAAACACAGTGTATGAACCTTAACCATCATTAAATTCCTAATTTGCCACATAAACATGCATATAAATGAATAGATCTAAGCAAAGAGTCCTGTGTAACTAATCAAAAAAGGTTATTGACATCAAAACAACATTTGTACCTTTATTGGTGAGTTAACATTGTAGGATCAACCAGCCATAACCAGCTTTACGACAGAGAACGAACAAGTTTTCATCCATTTTCAGTCACAGATTGGAGAAAGAGTCCAGTATGATCTAAGAAGCAGAGACATTAAGGCACCACACCAGATGAGCAACCTTAAAGGAAGACACCTTCCACTTCTGTCAGGAAGGTGGGAAGTTTGTGTCATCAGGAGGAGGCCATGACAATGCAGACCTTCAGAACAATCCACAACACACACCTCCAGACATCCAAGATGCATATTGGGCCCAATTTAACCAAGTGACTGGCTCACATTCCCAGTCACTATCAGGCCTACAAAGGACCAAATAGGCACCAGTTAATGTAAATGATCTAAAAGTGTAACTCTGTACACTTTTCTGTCATCTGGACAACAGCCCTCTTCTTTGACTTGAGTGGGTGTGAGTTCTGTGCTTCGGGCAGGCAGGCTGTCAAGTCGCTGCTGGAGGAAAACAGTTTGGTGGGTCTTTTCCAGCCGCAACCAGTGAGGAAGAGAGGACTGGGAAAGGGATGAGCTGTTGAGGGAGGAGAGAGAACACAAATTGCGCTGCAGTTTTGCTTCTGTTCATGTGAGTGGGTGGTCAAGGTGTCAGGTTCCATAAGTTGACTGGAGGAGTAAAAGCTCTGATTAAATCACAAAACTTAACAAATTCCTCTTTGGAGCACCTGTGGTACCCACACAAGGATGTACTTAATTCTGTTGTATGTCGTAGGAACCAGATTTCACTTTACAAGTGTTGAAGCGTCATTCAGGCATTTTGTAGAATTTTACCTCAAGTTTAGAAAAAGACAGCTGACATGAAAGCAAGCAAAGGCTCCATAAAACAGGTCAAGTACTTTCCTAAGTATCATAGTTATTTCTCTAAGGAACTTGATTTTTTTTTAACCACTGCCTTTAAATGCGAGTGCCTGTGTTTTTATCTTCATGTTTGTTTGTGCCTGTCTGTTGTAAATGTAGTTAGCAGATCATGTGACTCGGGTTTATTATCTTACCTGCCGGACTTCTGTGGTTGTTCATTCCAACGTTGGGGGTGTTTTTCCCAGAATGGACTTCAGGGATAAGCATGGACAAATAAGGTTGACCGCACACAGCAATTCCAGCACTCATTATGTTACAATATCACAAACTATTTTGCCATCCATTCACTTACACAGCTTCTTTCTTTCTTTCTTGTTCCTATTTATTTGTTTTATTTCTACCTACTGTCACTTTGTGAGTCCCAGAAAAACAAATTCCTTCTGTTCTCTCTGCTGATTTACTCTCATTTTTAAATCCCCATCTTTATGTATTGTAATGTCATGGAAATATCAGTTCAATGAAAAACCATTATTTCTCTGCTTAGGTGTGCTGCCGAAATGATCGCAGCGGTTCTGGAATTTAAGACACAGGTTGAAAAGTGAGTAATGACCTCAAAACATTCCCTTTTTCCCAGTTTAGTTTCCATTTGCCTCGTTTTTCCCCCCACTTGACTGCTGCAGCCACTGGTTGTTTGTCCAATTTAAAAAAAAAAAACATTTGATAATCTGTTAGATAAAATGCCACAAGCAGCACTGTAAACCATGTCATCCAATGTGCATACACAACCATCTTCTGAGTGCAATCATGGGAGAGTGAAGCTAAATAGTTTGTGGACAAACCCCTTTGTCTTTTCTGCCATCTATCAACACAACTCAAAATGTTACTGACAGCACAGACAGCTGCAATACCTAGCAGGTTTGGTAGTAAAAGTTATCCTGGAAAATGCAAATTACTACTGGATAACAAGTTAAAAAAGTAATGTTGTGTTTCCCCCCACATGGTTTGCAGTGAGAGGCCTGTGTGACCAAACCAGGGAGTGCCTTGGTTACATAAAGAACTATGTCGAGACCCCAAAAAAAAGGCCTTTAGCCAGACCTGCCTATGTAGTTTCAGCGCATCAAACCGTGTATCAAGTATCACAACAACCTACTATCTTGTAACTGGTGCAGGCTTTCTAATTTCTCTTGTCATGCAGGAGATTTTTGGATTGTTGGGTTCTCTGTCTAAATTTGTAAGGTCTATACTTTACTATGTAAAGCGCAGTGAGATGACATGTTGTAAACTGCGCTACATGAATAAAATTGAATTGAATTGAATTGGAGATCAGGATAAACTTGTCAAAAATGAAGGCAACACTAATTACTCAAAGTATTAGTCAAAGTACTAATAGCAACTTAATTTAAATGCTGTAGCTTTAGATTTAAGTGACAAAATAATAGCATAGATTGCTAGGTTTGTGTTTACTGACAGATCCTGTATGTTTTACAGTGAGACACTACCAGTTGAGTATATGGGAGGGAAGCCCCTGTGTATGAAGCAGTACACCAAAATACTGTCATCCTGTCGCATCCCTGGTCTGGAGACAGACTCTCTGGTGTTCCATGCCAAGAGCTCCAACCCCCCCAAACATGTCATCGTAGCACATAACTCTCAGGTGAGGAGGATAACATCACAAATCTGTGTCTGAGGTATTGTCGTATGTATATTTTTGTATGTCATTTTTGTACTACTTAAGCCATACATGTTCAGTATTGTACATGTTCAGCAATGTGCAATATCCAGAAGTGCAACATCAGTTACATTACTGCTTTTATAATTCCTAACAAGAAGAACTTGACAAAGGAAAATTAAAAAACTCAGCTCAAAGAGAGGTTCTTGCACATGCTTTGGATGAGGTTCTAGAAAGTAAACAGGTACAATTTGGAGAGTCAGGGGACATGATTTCCAGTCTGTTCAGCACAGTCCTGATGTGATCTGAAGCTGCAGCTGCCTTTGCTTTAAGGTGGATGTAGACCAGGATAAAAAAAAAAAAAATAGCTGAAGGAATTCTCTTGGAAGGTAAAAAGGATGAATGGAAACAGCCAGGAGTTCAAAGTTCGCAGCACACAGTCTCTCCCTCACTATCACAGTAGAACACCACTGTTTGTTAACATATAGGCGTACACTGCCATCACGTTTCTGATCTGTCGGCTGACTGTCACGGTCGAGCCGTATTGGTGTCCCAAAGCCGTCTATATGCGGAAAACTTTGGCTGTCATTGCTGCCTAGCCAGGTTTCGCTGAATGCCAAAATTGCAAAAGTCCTTTACTCGTGCATATACACGGAGTTAGCTTGAAGTTCGTCTGTCTTGTTGCGTACTGAACGCAGATTGGCGAGGATGACTGAAGGAAGTGGCTGCTGTCTACATCTCTCACCAGTGCAGCTGCACTGAAAGCTTATTAGTGTCAAGATGTATTTTAATGCCATTCCTTACATTTAGTAGGACTGTGTCTGTGCTGCCATGTGTCCTAAAACATTTAGGGTTAGGATTTAGTGTTTGAGTTGATGATTGAAAACAAAATTTTAAACTGGTAAAAATTTATTTTATAAAGTTTTAACTAAAGCAGTTTTTAGATCAGAAATGATGACACCAAGTGGCAGGAAGTCACTTACTATGGTAAAGAGGTTATAAGTACAGAATTGAAATAGCTGTATAAAGGAAGGTAGGAATAAGCTCACAGGAACAAGAAGAGGGCTTCAGGTCTAATGCTGTTTTCATGACAATACATACCAGCCAGGCTAGAATGTTCCCATTGGATATCACTCTGAATGGAAGATTTTTTAAAAAAATTCTGTTTGCTGGTATTATTGATTATTGTTGCCCTGAAGTAGCAATCAAACTCATCACAATTACAACCAAGATGCTGGGTTTTGCAGTTTGTGGTGTGACTTACAAGCAGATCTACCGCATTAAAAAGAAGCCTGGAATTATGAATGCTGGTGGTCATCAGGTTGGAGAAGTGCTATATTCATTTTTGTTCATTTTGCAAAAGAAAATGCATTTCTGTCAACAGATATAATCAACTCCTTTAGGCTTGACCCCTTTACAGCTGTGCTGGCAGTATTTTGTCTTGCTGAGATGACAGGAGGGTTGAGGCTGCATTGTTTTGCTCTGTGTCATAAGGAAATATGTGGGAACCTCTATGGTTTGGGTGAAAGCATTAAAGCTGGATAACTAGAAAAAAGATTAAAGTTAATGCCATTAAAGTGACATTCAGCTTGTCAGCAGTGACCTTGGGATGTTGCCCACATTGACTGAATTCTAATCCAACCTTGCTCTCATGTGTATCCCCCCCTCCCTTTGGATCAGTTCTTTGTGTTGGAGGTCTACAACAGTGACGGGACGCCGTTGACAGTTGATCAGCTTTATGTTCAGCTAGAAAGAATCTGCAACTCCTCACCAGAAAGCAATGCGGAGCCTGTCGGCGTCCTTACCACCCTGGACCGTGACTCCTGGAGCAAAGCTTACATCAGCCTGATCAAGGGTGAGCACAACACTGCTGTCAAATCAAATCAAATCAAATCAAATCAAATCAGGTTTATTGTCATTTTGCTGTACACACACAGCAGTACAGACAAGATGAGAGAGCGTTTCTTCAGGATTATTCAACCAGCAAGTTTTGCGGAATGAACATCTGGGATAAGACACTAAACGTTTGCTGTTGCTGTTTCCTGAAGGGGGCGCTGCATCCATGCACGCCGCCATTCGCTAAACATGGCGAACCTCTTCAGGTCCTGGTAGGTCATCAGGGACACAAAGACTCACACAATGGTGTAGCGATGGTGAAGCCACAGATGCTGCCCAGAGCTAGCTGTCTGTCTGTCTGCATCCCCTCCAGCTGTATGTCCTTCTGGGATGTTGTCATAGAGCCATGTTTATGTTCAAGCAAACACACAGCAGTCCCTCCACTCTGCGGGTTTGTCTAAGCAAACGTAGCTCCTCCAACTTGTTGTGGAGGGAGCGGATATTGGAGAGTAGGAGGACGGTCCTGCTGGTCTGGAGGTGTTAGCCTTTCCTTTGTCTTAGAGGTGTTGAAGACAAGGTTTGCCCTCTCACACAACTGAAGGAATGATGGCCCATGCTCTTCCTCGCCATCATGTAGGAGGCTCACTAAGGCAGCATCATCTGCATATTTAAAAAGATGCCTGTTTGGGAAAGTGCTTGTTCAAGAGTTTGTGTACAATATAAATAACAACTGAGATAAAACACAACCCTGAGGGGAGCCTATGGAAATGGTTCATTTGTACCTGCTGTGTTCTGCTGATCGGATGCCCCTAGAGGAGGAAGCAGGGATGCAGTGTAAGTGTTTTTGACAGATCCATAGCCCAGGTCCAGAGTCTTATTTTTCCTGGTGGGACAGTCAACATATTGATACGCAGGGATTTTTTTTAACTGGACAGTTGTTGAAATCTCCTAGAATGAACTTGGGTGCATCAGGGGAGAGTGATTCGAGTTTCTGTGTGAGGTTAAAAATAGCCTCTGAAGTCTTGTTAAAGGCCTCTGCTCTCTCTCTCTCTCCTCCTGCTTGTGGCTGTGGCCACCCTGTCATTTGGTTTATGTCTCTACATCAGACAACACCTCGCACCACATCGCATCCAGGCATCTGCAACTACACTAGTGACATCACTGACCTACACATCTCACTTTGGTAATAGTAAATTAGCAGATAATAAAAGATAACACTTTTGCGGGACATAGATTTATCAGTCGACTTTATTGTAAGAGGAGCAGTTCATTCTTTGTTTGTTGGTGTTTTTTGATTTTACGTGGTTGTTTTTTTTTTCTGTGTATATCTGTTTATTGAATAATAAGAACATTGTTAAAAACATATTAATTTGTTCAATAAATGATAGACAAAGCAAATTCTCATTGTGGTGCTATTCAAGTATATCACCTTTATCTGTAGGCACTGTTTTAATGACGATCAAACATTTTCCTGTCCAAATATATCAAAAAAGACAACAACAATCGTGGGATGTACTTGTGTGTTTCATGACATGACATGCTGTAATGTCGTGTTTGTTTTGTGTTTGTATTTTATTTGTTCAGATGAGACCAATAAAGAATCACTGTCGGCCATTGAAAGGAGCATCTGCACAGTGTGTTTGGATGGACCCATGCCTCAAGCATCTGATGAAACATACAGCAGACGTTCTGCGCTCCAGATGTTGTATGGAGGTGGCAGCCAGTGGAACAGTGCTAACCGCTGGTTTGACAAATCGCTGCAGGTCATATAACATGAAATCAATCAATTATTAACTTGTTTTAGTTTCACAAATGTTTTGTGGTTTTCAAACATAAATGAAAACAGTTCTTGTTTAAATATTTCTTGTTCATCTTTTCAAACAAACACTTTTAGAACATCTGTTCAAAAATAAGAATATGCACTTAAAATGTAAATGTATACAGTGGTCAGAATGTCTGAACATCATATTGTGCTCTGTTTTCTGGTGGTGACCATGTTAACTCCTTTGTACAAAATCCAGATTTCTAAAAATTGGTATCTTTTGATTGAAGCATGTTCAGATGACACTCAGATGACAAGGAGGACTTGATTACCTCATTACAGATAACAATGTTATGACAACATACACAAACAACTTCACAAAGCTTCTTCTGAAGGGTAATTTCAATTTATCCCTAGAATATAGCAAAGGTTTTAGTTAGATTAACTGGAATGACTCATCATGTCCCTGGCTGGATTTACCTAACCAGCTGACAGTACGCATGTCAGGCTTGGAGAAAATGATCACACCCCGTTGGGCCAGGAATGAAGAGATGAGACAAAGCGGCTAACAAAAAAAGAGCCATCTGTAGAAGCTGAGTAACATAATCCTACATGGAGTAACAAACAGACTCATAAAGATTTGGGATTTAATGCTAATGTTTGGTTTGTGTTGATCTTTCTTTCAGTTAATAATTGGAGAAAATGGGACACATGGTTTCAATGCGTCACATGCCGTTTGTGATGGTACAGTCCATATGGGCATAAGTGACTATATTATCGCATCTATGTAAGTACAACAGAAATCAATGAGATTTTGTAGTTACAGCCATTTCAGATTTTTTGTTGTTGTTGAATCATGTTGTTGCTTTGCTGCAAACAAAGATTCTGTTTGTATCTAGTGCTACTGGCCAAAACCTGCGAGTCCTTGAGGTATATGTTGAATGTATTTCTGTCCTTGTGGCATGTCCACCATGAAAATTAAGGAAAAATGAAGATGTTGCCCTTTTGAAACTGATAACTGATAAGAAGTTGCTCTACAAAAGACAAGAAGACAAAACTTTGGTGTCTGAAAATATTTTGGTAAATAAACCCTCCTCGACTATGAATCTATGGATTTCCAAATAAAACAAAACAGCTCTTTCATAAAAGCAGCATTGTTGTTTTCTCTGCTGTACCTTTACTGGGCCATTACTACCTCCCATAGACTAGTGGCCAAGGGTGAAACCACTGGCAGGAATGTCTATCGTAATGCTTGCATACATTTCAACATAACAGGCTAACAGATTCTTTTCTCCCTTTTTCTAATGTGAAACTACTCTGTGCTACAATAGAAAGTTAGAATGTTGGAACAAGTAAGCTATATTTGTTCAAACCCTTTACCGATTTTGAAAAAAAGACTGAATTGTACAGGATCACCTACAAGTCAATGTATCAGAATATCAATTTTTTTTTTATGTATTACTGTAATGCTATGAAACAGTAATAACTAACGTCAGCCTACAGCTTGAGTATGTTATCAAACTCTATTCTTATCTGCTTGTCCTCGGATATGGAAATCCTTACCCTGCAAGTGGACCACACTGGTTTCTTTAGACTACTACGTATGAAACCCCAGAAGTCTGAGTCCATATTGTCACTATAGTGCCAAGGAGGAAATGCTAAGCCATCGGAGTGACTAATTATTTTCCCTATGATAGAGAGGTGTCATATTAACAAGATTAAAAATGTTTCATGGGAGGGAGTCTTTAAATGTAACTTTTGTTTTTCACTAGGTTTGATTTGATCCCATCTCCTGTATCATTTCTTTGTTTTTATGTACAGGAACAGAAAGAAACCAGAAAAAATGCAGTCTGACATGGTTCCTTTGCCCATGGCCCACAAACTACACTTCAACATCACACCTGATATCAAGAAGGACATTGAGATGGCAAAGCAGAAGATGGACATGTGAGCCTTTTATGTATATCAAATCAAATCAAGTTTATTTATAAAGCATATTTAAATCAACCTGAGTTGCTGTGCATGTCAACGGTCCAGCAGCAACAGAAATAGGTTCACAAAGCAAAAAATGAGTTAAAGAGAATAAAATAGTATAAGATATTTAAACAAGGCAAAATCGTATAACAAGTTCCAGAAGTTTAAGATCAAATAAATACTAAATACTACAAATTAGGACCATTAAGAGCTACCAAAAACCTTAAAAACGTGGGTCACTCCATTTCAAACCTTCAACTTTTTGGAACAATTTCTGTTGGACCATCTCTGATTTGCCCCAAATGGTTATAGCATAAATATGTACAGTACCATTTAAAAATTTGGACACACCTTCTCATTTAATGGTTTTTATTTGTTTTATTTATTTTTTTACATTGTAGATTAATGCTGAAGACATCAAAACTATGAAAGAGCACATATGGAATTATGTAGTAAACAAAAAAGTGTTAAACAAATCAAAATATGCTTTATATTGTAGATTCTTTAAAGTAGTCCCCTTTTGCTTTGATGACAGCATTTCACACTCTTGGCATTCTCTCAGTCAGCTTCATTTCTAGCAAATGCCAGTTAAGCTTGTGTGGTGGTGGGCTGTGAGCACAGGTGGCATCAGTCGGGCCCTCATGCCCCACATGGAGTCTGTTTCTGACAGTTTGCCAGTGCTCCTCCTGTTCCTCCTTGCATGAAGAAGCAGATATTTGTCCTGCTGCGGGGTTGTTGCTCTTCTACGGCCTTATCCAGCTCTCCTCGGGTAACAGCCCATCTCTTGGTATCTCCTCCACACTCTTGAGACTGTGCTTGAAGACACAGCAAACAGTCTAAATCTAAATGTGCCATGGTTGAGGAGCTGGACTTCCTGTGCAACCTGGATGTGCTGCAGGTACTGTCTCATGCTACTAGCAGTGACAACGGCACTAGCAAAAATGCAAAATTAGAGACAAATCAGTCAGGAAGGAAAAGGAGAGAGAAGTGGCCTGTGACCACCACCTGAAAAACGATTCCCTTTTTAGGGGTTCTCTTGCTGTTGCCTCTTCTGCCCACCTCTTGTTGATTTCATTTGCAACCAAGCAGATGATCCTGATTCACAATCATTTAAGTTTCCTAACTGGACAGAGCGATATCCAAGCAGCTTCATTGTATACTGTGTTGATTAAGCGTTCCCTCGTTTTTTTCAACAGTGTATATTAGACATATCATACATTTAAGAACTACCAAATTAAAAGTCTCACGGTCTCCAAATGTTGCTGTTTCCCACCACAGAATCCCCCATGACATGGATTTGGAGGTTTTGTCATTTGACCACTTTGGGAAAAGTGCTCTAAAGGCCCATAAGATGAGCCCTGATGCTTTCATACAGATTGCAATACAGCTGGCCTACTACAGGTGAGATGCTGAAAACTCATGAGCTCGAAGGGTTTCAAGTAAAAAACAAATAAATAAATAATTAATACACATTTACACAGTGGTGAAAGGAAATTTTTATTGCCAAGAAACTTTAGTGTGAAATAATTTGTTGGGTGGATCAACAAGTTTCAGGACTGTCTTTGTTAAGATGAAACTATTCCTCCTGATTCTCTTGGTAGGATGCATCAGAGACCCTGTCCGTCGTATGAAACTGCCTCCCTACGTACGTTCAAAGATGGAGGTATAGACATTTTTCCTACAACCTCAAGTGCCTCAGTTGCATTTCTCAAGGCCTTTGATGATCCCAAAAAACAGGTATGATAAGACAGAAAGTTCTAGTTCAAGTCTTGCGCATTGTAACTATGGCTACTCAAAAACCTTTGAGAAGTTTTTTTTTCATTCACAGTACTGAAACCTCCTTCAATATAGCATGTAATAGTGTTTTCTTACAGCTGATGGGAGTTGAGTTGTAATTCTCCTTGGTCTCAGCTCAGTATCTGACACAGCTGATCAGGCAGGTTAGTGGAACCAGCTGGCAGAGGTACTGCTGTAGGCTTCTTTAGTTCATAATATTGGGAGTGTTGCTGCACAGCGGCAGATAAATAAACACAAATCTGCAACAAATGATGACTTGTGTTATTACCTGTCTGCACCCTCCAGTTTGACCTGTTTTGTGAGTATTCCCGTTTTGTTGTAGTTTTAGTTTATTTCACGTTACTTTCCTTAGTTTTTCCCCTTGGTGTTAATTTTGAGTTTTTCATAGGTTTTTGTATTTTTTTTCTAATTTCAGTCTGGAGTTCCCCGTTCCGTTTTCCCCCTCAGTTTAGCATCCCCCCCTCTACATTGGTTTCTGTTTAATTTGTCACTTCGTAAACTCTTTTGTTTAATTCACCTGCCTGTATCTGTGTCCGCACCTGGGTTCCCAGATCCCCTCCTCGTAACAACTTGTACCATTGTTGTCATCTTTGCTTCTGTCTGTTTTACACAGAATACAGAAAAAGTTGATTTCCTTGAGAAGGCTATGAAAGTACACAAGTGGAAAACTAACTTGGTGAGTATCATTCACAGAACCACTCAGGGCTTTAGTTTGGTGGAGGTACAGTTCATCGTCAGCGTAAAGATGCCTTTCAACAACTGCTTAGGCTTCCTATAAGCAGTGTTCACGATACTATCCAACCTGTTATTCAAACTACAGTCATGACTCGATAATCCGACACTAAATGTAATAAAATACCACCACAACCATGGCAATTATGTTGTAAATGTGCTGGCGCTGGTTGGACAACTACTTTAAAAAAAAAAAAACAACTTTAGAATCGCAAGATACATTCCACCATTACCATCCGTGTTTACTTCCGCAAACACTGAGCGTGCTCACTGTGTGTGAAGTCGCTGTGTCCTCTTCTGCGGGACACTTTTGGGTCGTATGAAGTTCACACAGCAGATCACATACAAGTCGTATTTGATTGGAAATGTGAATGAACTCGCAAAAAAATCGGATTTCACAAAAAAATCTGAATTGAGCATTAAGTCCTGCAGTCTGAATGTGCTGGATTTTTCAGGATTTTAATGAATCAGAAACTTGAATTGAACATGAACAAAATATTACACAGCAAAAATTGGAAATATGCACTATAAGTACAAAAAAAACTGAGTCTTGTTCTCTCAGTTTTCTATATATTGTCACTAATTTTTACAAATGTCCAGGCGTATTTGGGTTTGTGTGGTAGATAACTCTACACTTGGAGACAGAGACCCCCACAGTACTGCTCACAGTGCCATGCAGGGCTCCTGTGGTGTCCCTCCCCCTTCCATTGGTGACCCCATAGGCCTCTGCCTGCCCACTGACGCCACGACTTGCTGTGATCGATGGAACCGTGAATTCTGCTCTCTACCAGAAAATCTGGAAGGAGAATGTTCGGCCATCAGTTAATGACCTCAAACTGAAGCGCACTTGCGTTCTGCAGCAGGACAACGATCCTAAACATAGCAGCAAGTTGACTTCTGAATGGCTTCAAAAAAAAAAAGGAAGGTTTTGGAGTGGTCTAGTCAAAGTCCAGACTTGAATCCGATTGAAATGCTGTGGCATGACCTTAAAAAGGCTGTTCATGCCCAAACCCCCTCCAGTGTTGCTGAATTTAAACAGTTCTGCAAAGAAGAGTGGGCCAAAATATATCCACAGATGTGAAAAACTCATTGCCCATTATATATATAAACAACACTTGATTTCAGTTGTTGCTGCTGAGGGTGGCCCATTTTAGGGGGCAATTACTTTTCCACACAGGGCCAGGTAGCTTTGAATAGTTTTTTTTGCTATTATATTTAAAATCATTTCAAAACTGAATTTTGTTTTTACTTGGGTTATTTTTGTCTGATATTTATCTGTTTGATCTTAAACATTACAGTGGGGAAAATATGCGAAAAAACAAGAATTTGAGAAGGGGGCAAATACTTTTTCTCGACACTGTATTGGTAACTTTAACAGGTATATTAGATTTTTGCAATGTAATCTGTGACACTGATTATAAATCAGCAATGCTGATGTTTTACATGAAAGGTAATACATTTAAAACCTTTGTTAAATCTCAAGAATAGCCACTAAATGTAAACGGGAAACTCCAAAAGGTACCTTTAAGACTACATCTAATGATGGACTTGCAAACAGATTTAATTGTCTTAATTCTCACAGGCATGCAGTGGACAGGGTGTCTATGGACTCCTTGACTGTCTGAGAAAGGAGGTGGATGAAGAAAACACCTCCGTACCTGACATCTTCACAGACCCCTCCTACAGTACAGCCTTTGACAACACAGTTGCTACAACCCAGGTAAGGAACAGAACTGAAACGGTGACATAAAACATAAATACTATGATTCAACCTAAGAGTATACAACAGAAGTGCAACATCACTTAAATCTCAAATGACTCAAAATTGTATCACCTCTTACTAATTGCATTAATTCAGAATAGAAGAGTATTTTCTTCTACAAGCAATCCAAAACTAATACTTTATAAACAATATTGAATTAAAAAAAAACAAAAAACTACTGCATTCTTACCTCTGTTCTTCTTCAAAAGGTGCCAACCAAGATGGGCAGTCTGGGATTTTTGCATCTTGCTGAACCAGCTGGATACAACATATGCTACGGTCCTAATGACAGTAGTATCTTTTTTGAAGTTAAAGCTTTAAAGAAAATAAAAGAATATAATGTGGCTCATTTCCTTCAAGCCTTAGAAGATGCACTGTTGAACATGATGGCCTTGCTGGAACACACTCCAAGAGCAAACTGAAGCTAATCCATATGAAAGAAGTTTTTCATTTGGGAATAGATCTTAGTCCATTTCTTACAGAGTCTGTGTTAGTATTTGAATTTATGTGAGCGAAAAAATGTTTGTCTCAATGTAACTTCATGTTGATTCAGTAGTTGTGTACGTCAGGTTGTATTCAGGACAGTCTCTGTCAAGCTGGCTCACATTTGCTCTGAGATGTCACAACTTTAGAGTGCTTTAAAACTCTAGTGTTTTACTCTCATGATAAACAGTTGAAACCTTTGTGATTGTCTTTAATGAAGTAATTATTCAGATTGTTCTTTGTCTTGTAGATTATATAAAGGACAGAACTACTACTGTATGGGGAAAATGTTTAGGTTTTGCTGCTCTTCATGCTCTCCATTCTCTTTTTACTGTTTTTGGTCAGTCAGACCTTGACATAAACTCATATTTAGTGCCTCTGTACTCAGTAGAATAAACTTTTGTTTAAGGCTGGCATAACTTTAGCCGTGCTTGCAAAACTGTAACCAATGCAAGTCGTTAAAAGCTCCTCGGGAATATTATCCAATAAATCCGGTTCTTAAGAAACGTGTCATGCATTACCGGTTACTGACTCTCAAAAAACATACAACACAGAAGGCAAATAAAGGGTTAATGTACTCAATGAAGCGCGGCGTTACCCCTGGTTGCCACCATGGCTGATGACCGTCGTCCTCTGCGTTCAACCGTTGACTTATTGAAATTTAGATAGGCTACATTCAAACTCCTCTTTTCCATCAGTTGCTTTAGATACACACGTTTTGGACAACACACACACACACACACACACACACATTTTGTATTCGATCCAAGCAGCTTCTGTTTACATTTCAGTGAACTTCCACATGAACAGTGGTTCGCCTGTTCATGTCACAGTAATTGGCCAATTAACCTCGGTTGTGTACAAGTCCAGCCTCTGTTTGGGGCAGTCCCAGCCTAAGAAGATATCTGTAACCTGAACTTGGAAAAACTCAGTTCAGCTGGACATGATGAGATTACTCTCTGTCTCTCTGAATCCAGCGCTGCCTCACTTCACCTGTGACCTGAATAAATTCTACATCTGTGAATTGAAGATTTCTCCGGTTTGTTCTTGGGCTTCCAACTAAAGAATCGGGTCCAACAACATACATCATTTTGATGGCAACAAAATTCAAAGTTAGACATTCAACAGCTTTTAAGAGAATCTCAACGCTGATTGGCCATTGCGGCGTGAAAGATTGCTAAAGTTCAGATTTTTCAACTTGCGCAAATTTTTTCCAACACAAATTTGCGTCATTCGTGCATTTAACGCAGCGAACATCATATTTACTCCTGTCTAATTTGTTTGTTCTTGGCCTTCCAACTAAAGAATCAGGTTAACATTACCATTAAACCTACTGCGCGCATTAATGCTCCCAAGATGTTGATCTCTTTTGTTTTTATTGAACCAGTTTTTCCAAGATGGGTCATTCATCACACCTCTGATAAATCCAAACCATGATCCTTAACCAAACACATACTGAAAATACAAGTAAACACCAAGTGAAAATCAGCTCGTGAAAGTGAAAGCAAAACTTTCCAAATGCACTTTAAAAAAAAAAAAAAGGTGTCTTTCAGACTTGTCAGGATGTCAGAAAACTGATTCCATTCATTTTTTTCCTCATCAATCTACACACAATACTCCACAACAAAAAGAAAAACAGGTTTAGGCTATTTTACACATTAATTGAAAATAACAGACTAAAATTAGATATGATGTTAATATTTTTGCTTGACAGTTGAATTATGAATAATCTAATGATGCACCAGCCATGACAATTATTTTCTAAGGTTGCTTTTCCTTATTTAGTTATCTGTGTAGACCACCACTGTGTGCAGCTGGGAAGTATAAGTATGGGTGCTATTCATCATATTAACTTATGGGTCCTCCCGTTCTTTCTCCTGCTGTTGCTTAAAATTCGTTTCTCTCCCACCATCATGGAGGCTCTTCCAGTTATTTATTGCACATCAAGGAGATGAGAAGGCTGCAGGAGGCACTTTGAATGAGAAAACTGTTTAATCCTACATGGAAGTAAGTTTATACCAGTCTATACCAGTTTTTCCAAGATGGGTCATTCATCACACCTCTGATGAATCCAGGCTATCTGACAGAATGACTGCTTGATGAAGTAAATCCCTAAATGTCAGTGTTTCATGTGGCAGGATAGCATTGAGGACACTGTCTGACATGTACATGTGGATACACATATTTTTGAGAACTGAGGTTACATTAGAAAGCACTTGCATTTGCATTTTACAAGAAATCAAATAGACTGTTCACTTTTAATACATTCATATTTTCAAAGGGGAAACAGTAGGTCTACTGTGGTCTTAACTGGTCTATCAGTTTCATCTTGCTCCATTTGAACAGGAATATGTTCAACGCAGTTCAGAGCTGCTTCACTGTGTTGACATGAGTTCAGAATACAACATGGACGGGAACTTCACTGCTTGACGTTATGATTTTTCGTACATTTTTTCACAACAAACATATTCATGGTAATGCAATGAGATGAAAAAACAACCAAAACAAAACCATATTTTCACATAAAATCATCTTATTAGGGTCCGAGCACTCCAGTGCAAGGACCCTATTGTAACCGTTGTGATTATTATTAGTTATGATTTATTATTATTATTATTTATTATTATTTTACCGACTTTTGAAATGCGATTTTGAGGGCCTCCTACAGGGAAGCTCGTACACACCTGAAATTTGGCCACCACAAACTACAGGACATGGTGATTACACATTAGTAAAACGGTCCGCACAAGTGTGACGGCGTGGAAATGGCGCCCCCCTGAATTTGGCCACAACACCATAAAACACCAGAATACGAGACGTGCTGTGTCTGTGCTCCAATCGGCCTGAAATTTTACACGCGTGCTCCGAGTCTCAGTCAGAGCGCGTTTCCACCCCGGCAAACACGCACGCAGCCGCGGCTCGCCACTAAACAGGAAGTGGCTCGTAACTAGGCCAGATTTTCTCCGATCTGGAACGTGACCTTTTTTGAAAAAAACGACATGCTATGGTATGACTTTTTTTTAATTGAGGCCCAAATACATAATGTGCTTTTTTCCAGCAGTACCTTCCTAAGCTGTCTATAAACACATTCAGGACACTTTTCCCACTATATACTACATCCTGACAGGTTTTCAGGACATTCTGGAACGTGACCTTTTTTGACAAATACGACATGCTACAGTATGACTTTTTTTTTTTATGAGGCCAAAATACATAATGTGCTTTGTTTCCAGCAGTACCTTCCTAAGCTGTTTTTCGACACATTCAGGACACTTTTCCCACTATATACTACATCCTGATGCGTTTTCAGGACATTCTGGAACATGACCATTTTTGACACAAACGACATGCTATAGTATGACTTTTTTTTTCAGGCCCAAATACATAAAGTGTTTTTTTCAAGAAGTACCTTCCTAAGCTGTCTTTAAACACAGCTCTTCCGATCTACAT